ATTTAGCCTTTAAAATTTCCTGGTGGTTATATTATGAAACAGCATTTTGATATTTACTATAAGAAAGAGCTTAAAAAACATACCAGCCAAAAAAGCGCTTCTGTTGCACTGAGGGCAAGTTTCAGAGCCGCTGTAGGAGCTCTTACCTTGTAAACCGCGCTTCCCTGACATGTGGTACACTTGCCCTCCTCAGCCTTTTGTTTCCAGGCCTACGGGCGCTCTCCTCCTTCCCCTTTTCCCTGGCCCCACGCCAGAGCCCCTTGTTGTGTGTTCCCAGGAGGCACGCTCTGTCCATTGAGTGCGCAGCGACAGGCACGCGTGTGCTGCTTTGCCCAGGCAAACACTGGTGTGGGGCGGAGGGAGGAGGATTGAAAGGCTTTGATTTTCTGGGCGCAAAGGTCACGTCTTTGTTTTCCCCCCCTCCCTTTGTGGTTTGTTCTCTGCTAGTCCTGCTGCAGCTTTCCTCTAGGACTGGAGCAGGTATTTGGGGGGCTGTGTTTGGGAGCTCATCCTGTAACTGGACAAGTCTAGGAGTCCTACCATTTTTTGTTCTGCTGATGGAACTCTTTCCCTCCTGAGCCAGGTCTGTGTGTTCAGTTTGAATGCTGAGAAAAAGAAACAGCATTGCATTATTGTTACTAGTCTTGTTGAAGTGCTTCCTGCTGCAACGCCTTTGAGACACTCCCTCCCTCGGCTGTTACCCTGTGCAAGGAAACAGACAGGTTTTTGCTTCCTGTGCACTTTACTCATTGGATTAAGGGCAAAATTAAAGCTTTCCTAAAAGACTGGGTAGCCTTAAAACCGAATGAATACATGGGAATAGAAACCTGTGAGAAAATTTATTTCTTCTAATCCTGTTTAGAAGCAACTGTTGAAATAAATGGATTTACTGGTAGAGGTAAAATGAAAACCTAAACCTAGGAGGTCTTATTGTACATTTACCCTTGGAGTTGCTGAACTCTGAGGATCAGGTAATTAAGTTCATGAGCCAGAGAAGAGATGAAAGTAGGTAGCAGGAGGTGCCATCCCTTAAAAACATTAAGGTTCCAGAAGGAGTTGTAATTTCTGTATTACCTGGATGAACTTGGCCAGGGCCTTGCATCTCCTGTTTGCCCACGTCTTGGTGTTGCTTCTGACGTGTACACACCAAGGAGCGGTAGTGATTTTGTGTCATAGAATAATGCTCTTTTTTTCCCCCCTTAATGTAATAGTGAAGTAGTAAACCCATACAGAGTTACCTGGGAGAAGGGAGGTCGGATTACCTGCTGAAGAGGCAGCTGTCTGCTGCTAAAAGCAGATGGCTTTGTGTGTTCTCCCAAAGCACCTGCAAAAAGAGAGTGAGTTTTGTCGCGAAGCTGAAGATCCCCTCCTTCTTGCTATTCTGTCAAGCGATGTCTGCGTCTCTTGCAGCACAACGTGTGAAGGTAACACGCAGCCTACAGCATAAGCATTCTTTTAATTGCAGAAAATGTCCCTTCCAAAACACCAGGTGGAGGGGGATCTGTGGGAATTCCTGCCTAGAAGTGAAGAACAGAAGAGAGGAAGGATGGGCCAGGTGCCTGCCTTTCATGAGGATATTCCCTGTGTTACATCTGGTGCCAGCATAACTGCTATCCCTAAGTGATAAGGAAGTTTTGCAGACAGGGGAGGGCTGAGCTGTCAGGTGAGCTGGGGATCAGGTGTTATCATGGGGGTTTGATGGCACATGAGAGATTCCGTGACATTGCACTGAGCATCAGGTATGAGCAAGTGTTCTGGTCCATCAAACGTACAATGACAAATTCATATGTAATCTCTCATTACTAGTCCCTGTGGTTTTTACGTCTACACCTCCCTTGTGGCATTACTTAACAGCTGATAGCTTTCTTTTCTTGCCAGCTGCTTAAAAATGAGGTGTTCATGTAAAAATTAATGGGTTTAGGAGTTAACTGAAGTCTTCTTTAGAGCTTCATAGGAAAGAAGAATAGGTCAGATCATAAATATGGTTACTAGTGACTGAGTAGCCTTTACCAATTATTTGCACCTGATTGCAGCTTACCATGGGTGGGTGCAGCCAAAGTTCATAGTAGATATTTCTTCCTAGGTAGGAAGTAGTTTCTCTGAGTAAGTAATCAGCATGAGAATATGTTGCGGAAGGCTCATAACTACACACACAACTTTTTCCCTCTAAATCATTTAGAAGTTGAGAGTGACTCTGTTTAACTCCTACTTACACAAGAAAAGGGGCACTAATAGGAGCGGAATACACCTGATACCCCTTGATAGGATGCTACCTGCCTGCAGCGCAGGCTTTGTCTTTCCTGCCCACATTTGTAGTTGGTGAAGAGCTATTCCGCTGTGCACTCATGGGATTCACAGTACATCAACTCCTTTCTGTCTGCACTGCAATATGGCATAGTGCAAACATCGGGTGACCTTCCTTGTTATCTCATCGAAACCCAAATCCAGGCTGTAAAGCTGTTCTTCGCCTCGGTGATGTTCTGAACATGTCCTCTCTCCTTTTGGCTTTCTGGCCTGTGCAGTGCAGGGTCATGTGTTAAATGTCTGAAACCTCATCTGCAATCCAGCTGTTCTTCCAGTCATGCCTGCTTTTCTCCTCATTTTATTGATTTTGTATGAAAATATTTATTAAAGAAGTACTTGACCATCTTTTTCTGTGCACATGCTGCATAATGGGGAAGGTTTCTTGGAAGTTTTCTTACAAGTGGATTCCCATGTGGTGCCTGTTAGTCACAGCTAATTACAGAGGCTGGTGAATGAAGAATATTGGAGCTCAGGTTCCCCTCCTCCTCCTCCTCTCCCAGTGCTTCAGGAGAAAATAAACTAAGAAACCTGCAGACAAATCCAGGTTTTTCTGTAGTTGTAGTCTCCAAAGAGCTCCAGCGAGATCACAGATGTGGTTTCAGGTTTCAGGTGTAACTATGGTGTAATAACTACAGTATTATCTGCACGAGAAATGCAAGTGGGGAAAGAATCATTAATTGACAGTGAAAAGTTCAACCTATGTGCTGTGTGTTTGTTTTTTTAAGCAGCTGAAAGTTTAGCCAAACCATATTTTAACTTTAAACTGCAGCCCTGGAGGTTACAATAATCTCCAAACGGTACAACCTAGGAACGTTACAGGAAAAGACATTCCGACGCACGTTCCGGAAAGGTCAGTCACAGAAAAGCAGAAACACTTGTGATTTAGTTAAAGATAAGACACATGCTTCAGTTTCAGTTCAGTTGCATGCAGACCTCCTGTGCGGTACACTGACCTTATGTTCAGCATAGGAGCCTTTTTAGGCGAAGTGAGGAGGTAAAGTTTCATTGCTATGCACATGAGGAACCCATAGCGCACATAAAATGTTTAACTAACATCTAATTTCCCCATCTTTTCTTAGCATTCATCCAGCATCCAAGGAGTCTGCTAGTTTAAACAAGTTCCTAAGTGTGTACAATTATTAGTTCAGTAGGACTGTATGGGATATGTCTATTAGTTGTGACCTTCCTGCTCTTATATTAGCAGGACCTGCTGTTTTCCCGTACTGCTGATTTTCAGGGATTCAGAGCGTGCATGTTAACTGGGTATAATCTTCATTGGTCAAATTATTGTCTCTGCAAAACAAAATAATTACAAAAAAATAAAAATTAGAGATGTAATCTTAGCAGGAAATTTCCACTTAAATGGGTATTTGAGGCTGCAAAAAAATGCATCACTAAGAGGGTACTGGAGACAGATTACGTGTAGTGAAATGATGTAAGACTCTGAATGACCTCTCTCTTTTTAACAGGTATGCACTTCTTTTTTAAGGTTTGTTTCTGGTTGGGTTTTCCCCACGAATTTTGTTGCCCGCAGATGACTAGGGCTAGGACAGGAGTGTCCTGCCTAGAAAATGAAGTTCGAATCTAGTTTAAATCCTAGCTGCCTGAGCTCTAGGAAAACACAGTCATGGATGAAAACTCTTCAAATTAGTACAGTACTGATAGGTTATAAAAAGTTGGTAGTAATGGATGTAAATATCACAGTATCTCTTCAGAACAATTGTTCTGTGTAGCTACCTGATAGGGAAAGGCTTTATTATGTCGCAGCTGCATCAAAAGTATTCGACTTGGCTGTTACACCTTTAAAGGTACCCGTAGCAAGTCTGCTTGTCATTTCTATGTGCTTAGGTTGATGGATGTTAGGTGATAGCTAAATCATATAGTCCAGTGAAAGTACCTGTGGCACAGGGTTTGGAACTAGATGAGCTTTAAGGTCCTTTCCAACCCAAACCAGTCTGTGGTGCTATGGTATGTCTCAGAACAAACCTATGCTATTGTGGAGGAGACTGATTAACTCAGTTTTCTTCTAAATTAATTAAATGATTTGGAAAGACTAAATTAGTTTTGAATGATGAGATCTCTTAAAAAGGTTGTTGTGAGGCTAAACGCTGTGTGGTTGAAGACCTCTAGGAGGCTCAGTTCAAAGCCAAGTTATGTGACAGTGTTCTAATATTAAAAGTGCTAAAAGGAGCAAGTTTTAGTGTAGTGAAACTCCGCAGTACAAATGGGGCTTATACCCACTGCATCATACACGCTTCCTGTGGAACTGCTGCTCAGTCCTTTACAGAGAGAAATTGAGTCTTGCCTCCAAAAACTGAGATTTTTGGGGAGTTTTTTTGGTAGGTAACATAAGGAAAGAATTCTTATGTATGACCATCCCCAAACTTAGATAAAAGGCTTTAGATTTCGACTGTTATTTTAACTATTTTTCCCGCTCTACCTAGTGAGTAAACACCCCCGTGGCTGAATATTCCTGACATACAAAAAAGAGTGTAGAATATTAATCTAATCTAAATTCAAACATACAGATTAGTGTACGTATGTATTTGAATTAGTTTGTATTAAAGGCATCCCCCTCGAAAAGGCAGTCTGCAAGTAATCTCTGAAGCACACAAATTGTTTTAATGCAAAAAAATGGGAGAAGGGAAGAAATTTTGATTTTATAGTGATACAGTTCATCTTATTTTCCCCCAAAGGACACCGTGGTTTAATGGATGGGGCTTTAACCTACCCAGAGGTCAGTCTTTGCTAGACAAGTGGAACCTTATTCCTGAGGGAATTGATCTACTAATGACTCATGGACCTCCCCTTGGTAAGTGAAACAAAAGCTGTGCATTATTTTTTTGCATAAGAATTTTACTCTCAAAATAAGTAAAATTAATAATGCTGTAAACTGTACTGTAATCACACCTGCCTTTCTGGAAGAAATGTAAAGTGATGATAAAGTTTAGCAGATCTGTTGAGCTTAATAAAAACTACGTTTTTTGTTAAACTCAAGCTAGGAAAGATCAAATATCTGATTCCATAGCCATTATAGTTTGACATTTTATTTAAGAACAGTATTTATCTGACAAACAGTTTTCAATCCAATCAGAGACTGACTAACACTTTTAAAACTTTTTTCTACTACGATGACATTGTTACCTTAAGGTTTTGGAGCATGCAGCCGAGAGTTCAGAGTATGTAGCCATATACTCTCTTTAATAATGTCCTTGTAAACTTAGGATATGTAACAGTAGTTTTAAAGATACTGATTGGCTTATAGCAAATTTGTGAAGGAATAAAATTTTGTTGCCTGATAATTCAGTTCCTTACTCAGACTAATCACAGGTCTGTGAATGCATCATTTGTTTTTTCATTAAGTAGTTAAGCTTTACGTTTAGTTAAATTTTGCTTGCCTTGTAAATATAATTCCCTGATCCATATTATAAATCTAGGTTCTAAACTAAGTTCTGATGGTCTCAAAAAGATACTGGGATGATCATTCAGCAGAGGCAGGAGTACTCAGTTTTGACATATCTAAAGCCATTAAAGCCCACTCTAAAATAACTTGAAAATTCCCACATAGTTTTTTCCCTATCCTGTGCTCCCTAAGCTAGTATTGTGTGTTATTTACTGCTTTTCTTTAAGACACATCTGGCAAGCAGTCTGGGACCATATTTTAAATATTTCAGTTGGTTTTGCAAGAACTGAGTTGCCTTTTATAAATACGGCTTATCAGGATAAGAAATGTTTGTAATGTTTCATGGGTGCTATTTTAAATGGGTTGCTCATCTTTCTGCTCTGAATTGGTTTCATACACAAATATTGTGATGCTGCAGACACTAATGAAGTGTTTTAATTTAATAATTGTACTTAAATTTTGGTTTTGATGGAGATTATGAGCTTCAATTTGGAAAGGTTGGCCATTGTATTCTACCTACAAGCACAGTTTAGGCATTAGTACTGTGCCTAAAAGGTTGGGGTCAAGGTCTCAGCCAGCATGATAATACTGACAAAATGCTGCTTTCTAAATGATGTAAGTATTAAGGGAGGTAGAGCTATAACTGGACTTCTTGCTCATTCCAAAATTCAGTCAGGTTGATGCCACAACATGTTTTTACTGCCTGGTTTGAAACTGGTACAGGGTGTAATTACTCTGAAGTCAGTAGAATGGTGCTACAGCTGGATGTGGCTCCTGATTTCCCTTTTACTCCTCCTCATTCATCTTGCCCTGTTGATCCTTACCAGTGCTAGCCCAGGCAGCGGACTGCTGTAATAACTGATGTCAAGTTTTGTGCATTTTTCCTTATTACCCATAGGACTAAGGGGCAACATAGTCACTTATTAGCTTGTTGGAAGCTGTTTCACTACATTACTTCTCTTTGGTGACTGGGGCTCAGAAGTAACCGACAACTTGCACACTGGGGTCCTCTGGAAGTTGTGGGAGAGTGTATTTTAAATCTTCGGGGTGGCAGAGGTATCGGGTTGTAGGTCTTCCCGAGGTGTTTCATTTCTGGAGTAACCATGTAGCTGGCTTGAGAAGCTGACTGCTGTAAGGGGAAAGGGAAGAAAAATCTGCAGCAGTGCCGGGAATAAATGTCCCAGGGTTTCAAGGTGAAAGATGAATTTAAACCCATAGTTTAAAGAAGAAGTTCACATACAGAAAAATATTAATGCAGATGGAGAGAGGAAATCTTAAGGAAGACAAAGTGACAGTGAAGCATTTCTTAAAAGCCATTGTGTGCTTTAATGGAGAGGTTACGGCTACAGGTAATGTAATAAACTTTCCATGAATTACGACTTCCTGAAAGACTACACGAAACCTCACCTGAATAGATAAAATTAATAGTATTGATTGCATTTTGCCATCAGGTTTTCGAGACTGGGTTCCAAAGGAGCTGCAGAGAGTGGGTTGTGTGGAGCTGCTGAACACGGTGCAGAGGCGAGTGAGGCCCAAACTCCATGTCTTTGGTGGGATTCATGAAGGTAAGGAGCAGCATTACTCCCCTCTTCCATCTCAGTCTGAGTTCAAAGCAGCACATTTTGATGGTGTATGGCAAAGGACGGAGCCTTGGGCGACATGGTCTAGTGTGAGGCGTCCCTGCCTATGGCAGGGGGGTTGGAACTAGCTGATCTTAAGGCCCTTTACAATCCTGAGTATCCTATGATTCTATGATAATGGCATACTAGACTAAAGTAGGGAGGGAATTGAGGGAAGTGATGGCATGCACAGCACTTCGTAAATGTATGCCAGAATTAAAACAGACTGTTTCAGGAACTTCTGCTACACTTAGCCACCTACATCTTTCACTGTGCAAAGGTTGTTCTCTACAGGTTATTCGAAAGCAATTCAAATTTTGACAAACTTGGATAGTGAAACAGATGAAATTTCACACACTTGCAAGCCAAAATGAAAATTATCCCCATTATTCCAAGTACAGGAGACAAGAAAGGTGCTAGAGAAAAACCCGAGAATTGAAACAACTTAGTGTCTCAGCTCACCTCCTTCTGAGTGTAAGGAAAAGCAAAAAGGAGGGCATCTTGAGTCAGACATCAGGCGGGGACATTGCCAGAACTCACTTCGTGTACATTTCTAAAAGCATCCTTTAATACAGTTTGTACTGTGTAAGTTACCTTCCAGCAGTCTCATTTCAGAAGAGGTATTTCCCCACTGTCAGTACCAGATCAGTCAGAATGTGAAGCTTCAGAAACAATAAGCTCAGTTTGTGGCAGTGGAAGAGTCTGAGATATTAAATACATGTAGGAGATACTTAAATATTTAATACTATTTTGTAGTTTCGTGTGGTTGAGAGACAAACACTAGGAATTCTGCCTGGGAGAGAGTGTAAGACTTTGTGACCCTAGAACTCAAAATGACACCTTAAATGCTTTATATCGTCCCCCCTGGAGGTTTCTCCATTGACTCTAACTAGGTTCTCCATAGGCTTTAAGATTTGGAGGACTTAAAAATAAAAAGGGACAGTTTCTCAACTAGTGGAGTTGTTTTTTCTGAAGACCTTATGACTTCATACAATGAATTTCATAACTAGTATATGTAAATAAAGAGTTTATAATGACCTTAAGTATAGTGGCGTGAGTAACAGTCTTTAATGCACCCAGGAAACGATCAGCTATTTTGTATAAATATTAATCCTCCATATAAGAATAAATCAATACAGCAAGACTTCCAGCTAAAACATGCAAGTTGTCTACAGCCTTCACAGGCACATTGGACAATGAAACGCCTAGTTGTAATAGTGTTAAATGACAGGACAGTAAGTTATCCTGTTGTACAAGATCATTATCATGAGGAAGCATTGAGGAACCACATGGCACTGTAATTTACATCTCGCATTAAAGGTGACAGCACATATTAAAAGTGAACATTCATATAAATTCTTGCAAGAATACTAACAAAAGAAAGTTAAAATCCCACTTAGTGCTTACACAGAAGACATAAGAAGGGCTTTCTTACGTCTGTTTCTTTCAATGCAGAAAGACATAGCTGAGTGATAAGAGCATTATCTTACAATGCAGTTAATTCTCCTCCAACTCCAGCTGAGATGAACATGCATCACGTTCCATTAAATCAACAAGAGGCTATCCACACATTTTGGTGATACAGGCTTTTTTCCTGGTTGATAAGCAAAGAACAACCATGAACAAGATTTTTCCCACCATGAGATGATCTAAATCAAAATTGCCAGCCTAAATAAATAAAGTAATGCAGGCGGACAGTGCAGAAATTCTGAAGTGATTATTCTTTCTGATAGACACCGTGGGTAGCTGTATTTATCTTTGCTTTCAGACAGCAGTGATCTGTACTCTATCATAATGGTTAAAAAGAAAAACATTTTTCCCCTGTGGGTTTGCGATGGGAGGTTGTCTTCCTCCCTGAAACTGTTTTTACTATTTACATTTATTTATATTTTAAGTATATTTGGTGCCAAATTCTTCCTAGATTTTTTCCTAGCTTCTTTGTTGGCTTTTTGTGGATGTCAGTTGAAAATAATTGCAAAGCTTTGTTCACCTTTTACACTGGTGGAATGGGAGCCCCTATCTCCTTAGCCATGAGAGAATTTCTGTAAGAGGATTGCTTCTACCATCTCAGTATCTCTGTACTTCTGTTAATTCATTTTCTCACATCACATTTGCTGAACGAAGGCTCAGGTGTAACTCAATTTGTGGCTCACTATAGTTTGCTCCACTTGCCTAAAACTACTAGACTGCACAACCCTCTGTTACATCCTATTCCTGTGCAGCAAGTGGGAGACAAGATAGAGGCCAGCAGAGAACCAGCATTGCTGCTGGTTCCTCACACACACGCAACAAGATCGTTGCCGACGAGATGTTCAGAAGGTTGAGAACAGTCTTTAGCCTCCTAAAACTGATGACATGGTGTTACTGAGCAGTCAAGTCCTCAGCATGCTGAAAAACCTGTGATTAATATTCACTTCTTGCTTTTTTTTGTTTGGGAATGAATTACCAAGATCCCTTCCTAATAAAAAGCAGTCATCTATTTAACCTTCACCTCAATTTTCTGCTCAAGCTAGGGTCATCCGTTGACCTCCCGTGCTCTGTTGTATTTATAGCAGCAGATTCCTTTGTCATGAATTTCACTGGTAGATAACATATATATCTATGTGCATGTGTGTGTATAAAGAACCATATATATATATATATGTAGTAAATGTATAGTAAATATATATGTGTGTGTATTTTTAACCTGCTAATGAGTTTCTGGGGTTTCACAAGCCAACATGAATGCCAGCTTGGCAGTCTTGTGGTGAGGAGCTGGATGGTAAGGGCTAGCATGGGGTTCATTGTTGCTCAGAGAGGGGTTTTTCTGGGCAAAACCAAAGTTACTTCTAAAGCTTTTGCTCCTGGTGGGTCTTTTTCTTCTACATGCATTACAGGCATGCAGACTCTAGCTCACTAATTAAGTAATTAGAAAAAGCACATGTGTGGTTTTGTCTTTGTTTCTGATTCAGTTGCCACAGAGGATTTTCCACTGGGGAAAGACGTTTGTACATAAACCAAAAGCATCAGCTCTTATTTCAAATACAGTACATTGTAGCTTTTATTTTTTTTTCAATCAAGCCTTTGTGGCAGCTTTCATTTTGAAGGGATTAATATAATTTTATTCCAGAACATTGATCCCACAACAAGCTCTCAGTGCAGCTGCCCACGGGCAGTATCACTTGGTTATATTGCAGTAAGTGTGACACGTTCTCCCTGCAGGTTATGGCATTATGACAGACGGTTACACAACGTACATCAATGCTTCAACGTGTACAGTCAGCTTTCAACCAACCAACCCCCCAATTATATTTGACCTTCCAACCCCTCAAGGATCATGAAGCACTACTGCACGTTTGGAACTGGGAAGGTCTATAAACTGCCATTTTCTAATTATAAAACTTACATTCTGTTACATGCTTATTTCAGAAATGGGGGGAGGGGGAGAATTTGGGGGACGGTGAAGTTTTTGTTTGGGGGTGGGTTTGGGGGTTTTGGTTTTATCTCCTTTTTTTTGTAAATTGCTGGTACAAAAGAAACAAGAAAAGTTAGAGGTTGTGCTTTTTGGAAATGCAGCATTCATTTTGAATTGATGAAGCATTGTGAATTTGTAAAATGAATTTTGTTTTTTCACTAAATTTGCCATTGTAAATTGTTATAGTGTTCTCAAAAGGACAGCCAAGCTTTCTTTTAATAAGTGAGAGACCTTATTTTAATATTATATTATAAGCTAAAAAATAGGCAGCATTTAAAAACACCCAAATTTGCACAACTTATGTTATTGTCGGGGTTTTTTTAAGTGTCTTCTTTTTTTCCGTAGTTCTAAATGTTAGCTTTTCATCTTCATTTATATCATTTTTTTTTAGTGGCACGAACAGTATTTTGGGGTCCATTTACCTCTTGATACGTGTGCATGTACTGAAACATGTTCCTGTTAACAGTAGAATGCAGCAAGGGGTAAATAGACTTCTCAGTTGTTTGTTTCTACCCGCTTTATACGCTAAAGACTGATATTGATAGCCACAGCCTGTATGTGATACCTACCTTTTATTGTTTGTTTTTAAATTATTTTAGCTTTAAAAGACTGGGGTGAAAGCTGCAAAGAGCAGGTATTTCATGCAGTAAAAAAAAAAAATGTAAATGCGGACTCCTTTTAAATATGAATTTATATATATATGTATTTTTTGTGCATTATAACTAAGCTAGGGTTTAATATTGCCAGTATAGCATCTGCAAAATTATGCTGTACAGCACATCTAAATTATGAAGGATGTGACACATTTTCCAAGTGCTCAAGGCCTTCAAGAGCCCGAGTTAAATCTTTGTCGTAGTTCAGGCATGTATAGAGTCAAATGGATACAATCAAGCCTAACTAAAATAAGGCTTAGTTGTCCTTTATATTTAAATATTCTTCTTGTCTTTTTATTTCCTTTTTCTTATTTTGCACTGTGTGTAAATGCAATCTCACTAGCACAAAATATTGTTGCAGATAGTTATTTCTGTTCTACCACTGTAAATGCTATTGAGCTTTGTTCTGTTTTATGTTACCTTGTTAATGGCATTTAGAAAAGCAGTTGTTTCTTTAAATTTATTGTGATATTATATCTAGCGGCCTTTATATGCAAATAAAATTGCAAGATTTTTAAATTTGTGGGTTAAGGGAATTCTGCATTTTTCTGTGGCATTAACAACCGGGGGGCAGTGATAAGGGTAAGTAAGAAAACTTTTCTATTTCTCAATAAATTTTTATTGCTTACCATTCGTAGGATGTCAGTTGGGTCGATAAAGCACTCAGACTTTTCCTTCCGTTTCTCTGCCATCCATCTTCCGTTCCTTTTAGACAGAACAGATTTTTGTCTTCAGATGTTATAACTCAGTGCAACCAAGTTTGCGCAGTTAAGCCTTGTAGGATGTTATTCCAGATGACACGAGGAAAAATTGATTAGGCAGTAACCTTTGTACTTCCTCACTTGGTCATTAGTACTGTGCTGCAGGTGCCTTCTGCTCATCCACTATGGGTTAAGAAATGAATAGTCATAGATTAAATCTATCGCTTTTTATCTGGGTCTGTTGTCAGTTTTGTGGCTACAGTGGGATCCACCACCAGTGGGAGAATGGCAAGGGAGCAGTCTATGCCAGTAGAATGACAAACACAACAGGACCTGCTGTTATTGCTGCAGTACAGTTAAGTATATACCAATAGAATCTTGTTCCAAAACAGAAGTTATGGCTGTGAAAATCCAGTTTCAAACATGAGAAGATGAGGCACTGTTTTGATCTGTAGTAATGCGAAACAAGACCTGGAAAGCCAGAGAGTGTTGCCATATTTCTTATCAGATTATTAACTTTTGACATTATTTTGATACAAAGGTTGTAAAGAGATTCTAGGCTTTGACATAAGGGTGCTGCTTAGAGGAGGGCTGCTTGTGTATTTTGATTCAGTGTGCATTAAGCATAACTATGGAGTTAAGCTGAAATTTTCAGATGGATAAGCCTGCTATACCGAAAGTCTTTTCTGGGCAAGAAGCTGCTGTACCTCTTAAATATAGTTCTTGATTTGTAGGTGGACTTGCCATATGGAACAGTTAGGATATCCACCCTGCTTTGCTTGCAGTGCTGGTTATTTTATCAATTGAGCCAAAGAGAAAAAAATCAGTCATTCTTTTTAGATGTAGATGCAGGATCTGTCTTTCGGGATTTTTCAGCCAGCAATGGGAAGACTAGGGAATTGGTTTTGGCAACCACAGCTGTGTACTGGCAAAGGATCATAGAATCATAGAATAGTTCGGGTTG